CAATAAGAAATGCAAACACTTTCTCATATCAGTGGTATTCTGTCTGTATAGTTCTAAAGTTTACTGATTTCATTCAACAATATGTATGTCTTAAATTTATCCATCTTGATAAACAGTGATATCCAGTAAATTCATTTTTAAAACTATGTAGTGTTCCATTATATGAATATACTGTGTTTTATTTAGCTCTTTTCCTAATATGTCCCCTAAAAATGGGTCATTTCCCATTTTTTTGCTGTCTCAAAAGTACTAGAGTACTTGCATATTATTAAATGTTGACAGTATTGTTTTGGCTTTTAGATATTGTAAGTATATTTAGTAAAACAATTCTGTTGTGATTTGTTTCTGTTCTCCATAGGGATGCCATTGAAAAGTTATTTCCTGATGCCGTTAGGATGCGATTGGAAGACGTTCAGCAGAATAATGACATAGTCCAGAGCCTTGCAGCCTTTCAGAAATATGGGAATGATCAGATTTCTTTAGCTCCCAACGCAGGCCGAGTGAATCAGCAGAGAGGAGGGGGATTCTTTTCAGGAGTGCTCTCAGCTTTAACTGGTGTGGCAGTAAGTTTATAACTTTTTCACTGTCCCCACCTCCCAGGGTTTCTACTGAAATCAGTTTTGTTTAAATAACCTAAATGATTGATGACATAGCTGTTTGTGGTAATTCAGTGCATTCATTGAAATCTGCTGGGTTGTATGAGTCTTTGAGGATGTTGCTTACTCAAGTCGACAACATAATAGTCAGAACCCAGTAAATGTTAGCTTTCTCTCATTTCATCTTCCTCCCATTTTAGAGATGAGGAAATAGGTGTCAGAACTGGAATATGAGACCATGTCTGCCTTGATAGTGTCCTGAGCACAGCCTTTTACTAACTCCCAATGTAAAGACTGTTTCCTTTATTTAAGTTCCATGCTACAGAAATCTATATGTTATAAATTTTTCAATAGAAAAAGCACATGAGTTAGTCATGTTGGCCAAGTTGATGGGGTCATGGGTTCGATGTTCCAGGCACCCTGTGAAGCGTCCCTCCCGCTCCTGTCTGTTCCCTTACGACCCAACAATCAGCAGAGAGCTGAGCCTGCCAAGAGTTGTGCACCCCCGCTTTCTGGCACTGGCCTTGCCCTGCTTCTGTGTACAGACTTGGCATAATTCCCTTCAAGCTCAGCCTCTCCCCTTCCCTGCCCCACATTCACATGTTTAGAAACTGGCACCTCTAACTTTTCTGTGTCTTAAACTCCCTGTCACTTTTCCCCAGGTGGTCCTGCTCGTGTATCACTGGAGCAGCAGGGAATCTGAGCATGACCTCCTGGTCCACAAGGCTGTGGCCAAATGGACAGCGGAAGAAGTTGTCCTCTGGCTGGAGCAGCTGGGCCCTTGGGCCTCTCTCTACAGAGACAGGTTTTTAGCTGAAAGAGTAAATGGAAGGTGAGGAGCAAAATCTTTGACACATCACTGACATTTTTAAAAACAGCTTTATTGAGGCATATTTACATACCCGAAAATTCACCATTTAAAGTGTATAGTCAGTGGGTTGGGCTTTTTTTGTTATTTTTGTTTCTTTTTTAAATATATCTTACTCATTTTTTACAGAGAGGAAAGGAGAGGGATAGAAAGCTAGAAACATCGATGAGAGAGAAACATCAATCAGCTGCCTTCTGCACACCCCCAACTGGGGATGTGCCCGCAACCAAAGTACTTGCCCTTGACCAGAATCAAATCTGGGACCCCTCAGTCTGCAGGCCAACGCTCTATCCACCAAGCCAAACTGGTTAGGGCAGTCAGTGGTTTCTAATGTATTCAAAGATATGATAATGTTCTAGTTTTAGAACATTTTCATCACCCCCAAAAAGAAAGCTCAATCCTTGTTTCCCCCATCACTCTGCCCTATGTACCACCATTCTACTTTGCCTATTCAGAGTATTTCATATAAATGGAATTATACAATATGTGGCCTTTTATGTCTGGCTTTTTCATATCATGTTTTAAGGGTTCATCCAAGTTGTAGCATTCATTTTTATGGCTAAATAATATTCCACTATGTGACTATACCACATTTTATTTATCCATTCTTTAGTTGATGGACATTTGGGTTGATTCCAGTCTGGGCCTATTATGAACAATTCCGCTGTGATCATTTGTGTACAAGTTTTTGTGTGGACATATATTTCAGTACTCTTGGAGTGCAATTGCTGGGTCATAAGTGTGTGTTTAACTTTTTGAGGAACTGTCAAACTGTTTTAAACTGAAAATACGGTGTACTAAATAGGCCTGTGTCTATATTTACATATTTGTGTACATATACATATAGACAAATGTATGTATATATGCTAGAGCAGCGGTTGCCAACTGGTGGTCCTCAGACCACTGATGGTCCGTGAGGTCCGAAAGGTTGGCAACCACTGTGCTAGAGTCTATTTAATTGATCTCTACCAAAAAATATTTGGATCATTTCCTTTTTCCTTGTATAGACAGTTTCACACAACATTGTAGCAAGTACCTGGAGGAACGCATTAGTATGAGGAACTGAGAAGTTGCTCTGAGGAGGCCTGCTTCTGCCCATCAACAAGCCCCTGCCCTTCCAGAGCACTGTCCATCTTCGCTGGGATCCCCCTTCCTTGGAGGGACTGTGTAGGGACGTTACTTAGACACCATGCAGTGCTGAGAGGAGCTGCTTGTTTCAGACCTGGAGTCCGCTCACTGCCAGGCTGCCTGACTGTCCCACTTCCCACCCCAGTCACTTTCCTCCCTGAACTGAACTTCCAATATTTGATTCTCTTTTGTGGAAACAGAATGCTCCCACTGTAATTGTCTGGGGGATTTTCTGTGTAAAAGTTAGTGTGCCCCCTCCCCCAGCCCAGAATTGTGGTTTTAAAAAAAAATTCTAGTTACTACAACATATCTTTGCATAACTGCCTTTCTTCCAGAGGACAGATTCCTAAAACTGGAATTGCTGGATCAAAGGCAGTAAATCTCTGCTACTTAAATATTACCAATTACCCACAAAAGGCCATCCGTGCACAGTCCTCCAACAGTGGTGTGGGGCTCACCTGCCAATGTGCAAGGGAGTTTCTAACAGTGAATCGCTGTGCAGGTGGATTTGTGTTTTCTGATGAAAGGGAACAGATAAGACATCTACAATTATTTTTATTAAATCACTACCCCGAAACAACTACCTCTAATGTCATAATGTTTTATTGGCTTTCTTCCCAACCTTTTTTTCTATGCACACACAATTTTAAAAAACAGAGCAAGCCCTGGCCAGTGTGGCTCAGTTGGTTGGAGCGTCCGTTGTCCCATACACCAGAAAGTGTCAGATTCGATTCCAGGTCAAGGCACATACCCAGGTTGTGGGTTTGATCCCCAGTTGGGGCACCTACAGGAAGCAACCAATCAGTGTTTCTCTCTCACGTGGCTGTCTCTCTGTTTCTCTCCCTCTCCCCCCAATCAAATAAATAAATAAATAAATAAATAAAATTGTCCCACTTTTGATGTTTAGAAAAAAGGAAAAATAAAAAACAGAGTAATATGTGAGAGATCAGAGTGCATAGCTGAAAGATCAAAGGTTAGGAGCAAAGCAGGCCTGGGTGTGGCTTGGGTAGGTCACTTTAGTTCTCTGAGCCAGTTTTCTCATCCACAAAATGGGCATAAGGCCACTTACCCTACAGAATTGTTAAATGGATCAGTGATGATTTATGAAAGTATTTTCACATAGTCATTGGCAAATAGTAAGCAGTCAATTGTTTGGTGTTATTAGTGGTATTTTACTTATTAGGTATCTTACCTTACCTCAAGGCTAAAGTATTTGTGTTGATAAGATGTAACTCTGTGGAAAGTTTCCTTCCAGTACACAACCTCAAAAAAATTCTCCTGTCACCCTCTCCACCACAGATTGCTTTTAACTTTAACAGAGGAAGAATTTTCAAGGGCACCGTATACCATAGAAAACAGCAGCCACAGAAGGGCCATCCTCATGGAATTGGAGCGTGTCAAAGCACTAGGCGTGAAGCCCCCCCAAAATCTCTGGGAATATAAGGTGAATTCTTTATTTTTTTTAATTGAAAAAAGTATAGAAAAAACTAACAACAACAACAACAAAAAAAAAAAGTATAGAGAACATAAATCACCTGCATGCCCACTGCTTAAAACATCACAGATATGATTGAAGCCCTGCCTCCCACCCTCTCTATAGGTCCCACACTCCTACAGCAAAGCACTAGGAGCATTGTTCTAAAGGTTTTTAACCTTAACCTAAGAGGCGTGAACTGAGCCTGTCCTTCTGCAAGTGGTGTTTATCTCTGTGGCTCCCGTTCATTCGTTTTCTTTGTGGGCAGTTTTCCATTGCACAAGTTTGTGACAATGTATGCATTTTCCTGTTGGTGTACACTGAGATTATTCTCATTTCTGTATTAACTGTATATGTTTATGTGGTATTAACAATTCATGGGCGTGGGCTGGGGGAGTTCATGAAAAATAATGTCCTTTATGGGCTTCTTAAGGGGTAATAATGAAAAAACGTTTGGAAACAATACTTTAGATTAAAGTATTCCCATATATGTCTATGTCTCACCTAAGTTAGGACACAAAGTTATTTTTAGAAGTCAGATTTTTCTAGAAACTATTAGTATGAGAAATTTCAAACATACCCAAAAGCAGGATAAAAAAAAAAAACTGCCATCTGTCCATACCAGGGCCATGTTTATTTCAATAATACCCCCACCTAAAGATTATTTTGAAAATCTGAGAAGATTTATCCCTTAAGGAGTCCTTTAAAGACTTGATTTGGGGAGTTGAATACACAGTACAATATACAGATGATGTAGTATAGAATTGTACGCCTGAAACCTATATAATTTTATTAACCATTATCACTCCAATAAATTCAATTATAAAAGGGGGGGAAAAGAATAAAACAAGATGAAGCCTGAAAAAAAATAATTAAAATACCACCATTGTACCCCCTAAAATAATTCTCTATATATTATCACTTGTCAGTATTCAAATATCCCACATCATTTTTTTCCCCCAGTAGGTTTGTTCCAAACAGGGTCCAAACAAAGTCCACTTTTGGTTGTTATGTCTCCTAAGTCTCTTAGTCTATAGGTCCTCCTCCTTGTTTTTGTTACTCTGTATTTATTTGTTGAAGAAACCAAATAACTTGTCCTGTAGTTTTCCCACATCTTGAATTTTGCTGGTTGTCTTTCTGTGTTGTCACCCAATAGGTTCCTTTGTCCCTTACATATCCTGTACTCTAGTAGTTTGATCTAGAACAGCAGTTCTCAACCTATGGGTCGCGACCCCTTTAGGGGTCGAATGATTCTTTCACAGGGGTCACCTAAGACCATCGGAAAACACATATATAATTACATATTGTTTTTGTGATTAATCACTATGCTTTAATTATGTTCAATTTATAACAATGAAATTGGGGGTCACCACAACATGAGGAACTGTAGTAAAGGGTCGCGGCATTAGGAAGGTTGAGAACCACTGATCTAGAGCTTCCTTTGGTTTCAGTTTCATATTTGGCAAGACTACCTCATAGGTAATGGTGTTTTCTTCCATTAAGAGGCATATATATATATATATAAAATGCAAAATGACCGGACAGCGGACCAACTGGTTGCTATGACATGCTTTGACCATCAGGGGGCAGACCCGTAAAGCAGAAGCTGCCCCCAGCCCCCAGGCCCTGAGTCCCTGATTGGGGCCTGCCAGCCAATCTCTCAGCCTCTCCCCCACAGCCAGCAGGCTCTGAACGCCCGATAGGGAACAGGGAACCAGGGGTGGGTGGCGGTGGACGTGGGTGGCGCCAGGCCAAGGTGGGTGTAAGTGAGCGGGGTCAGGATCACCCTATCAGTTGCCCCACACACAGAGGACGACTGGTAGCGGGGGTAGGGGCCAGATGCTGGCAGCTGCAGAAGATCGGCCCTGATCGCTGGCCAGGCCTAGGGACCCTACCCATGCACAAATTTCATGCATCGGGCCTCTAGTAATATTTATAATGTTCAGTTGTCTCTTTTCTATGGTTACAGCCACTGTGACCATTTATTGTTTAGAATTCAGGGGTCCTCAAACTTTTTAAACAGGGTGCCAGTTCACTGTCCCTCAGACCGTTGGAGGGCCAGACTATAGTTTAAAAAAAAACTATGAACAAATTCCTATGCACACTGCACATATCTTATTTTGAAGTAAAAAAACAAAAAGGGAACAAATACAATATTTGTATTTGCATGTGGCCTGCAGGCCGTAGTTTGAGGACCCCTGGCTTAGATTCATTGTTCATTAAGGGTTGCAAAATGGCGATACTGTAATTCTCTCATTTCTTCTTTTTTTTTTTTATCCTCATTAAGGATATCATTTTTGAGATTTTTTTTTAGAGAGAGAGAGGGAGAGAGAGAGAGAGATTGAGATTCGTTGCCCCGACTGGGACTGAACCAGCAACCTACGTATGTCCCTAACCAGGAATCAAACTGAAATCTTTTGTTATATGGGACGAAGTACCAACCAACTGAGCCACCTGGCCAGAGCTCATTTTTCTTCATTTGTTAGCTGAAATACATCTGGAAAAAAAAGGGGGGGGGGATTTCCCTCAACAACCATTTTGATTACCCTAAGAACAGTTTAGACCAGAAAGTCAGATTGTTTGATTCTTTCCCTTTATTTAGCAGTTTCAGAAGAATGATTTGACTCCCTGTTAATCTCCAAGGTGACCAATTTCTTTCTTTAGGAACATTAACTGAAGATTTTAACATTCTTGATATGTTTGAATACATTTCAGTAATTATACTAATTGATGCTCATATTGTTCCATCTTTTTTGAGGAGGAGGCTCCTCAAATTATTTTCTGAGTTTGTTTTTTAAATTTAACTTTTGAATTGAAGAATAATGTGCTTGCTAGTGAATCCTTTTAACATGACCTCATTAGTCTTTGATACTTTTCCTTTCTCACTGCCAAGATGTTCAAATTACTCTGGTACCTTTCCGTACCCAAATCTGGAATCAGCCATTTCACAAGTTGTTTCTTTTTAAAGTAATCTTTTACTATATAAAACTTTATGTATAAACAAAAATAGAGGGAAGAGTTTATTCATATGCAAATTCAACATGTATTGACTCATGACCATTCTTATTTCATCTGTTCCCCCTTCACACGCTCCCCACACCCCTAATCCTGAGAATTTATTAAAGCACTAGAGGCCCAGTGCATGAATTTATACACAGGGAGAGTCCCTTGACCTAGCTGGCAATCAGGGCCTCTTGGTGGGGGATGAGGGGTCGCGGGAGGTTGGCTGTGGAAGCGCACTGACTACCAGGGAACAGCTCCTGCATTGAGCATCTGCCCCCTGGTGGTCAGTGCACGTCATAATGACTGGTCGACCTAGCGTTAATATGCTTATTTGCCATCCTTACATTTTCTTTGGTGATGTGTCCATTCATATCTTTTGCCCGTTTTGTTTGATTCTTGGTAGCATAAAGTAAGTTGACTTTTTTTAGTTACTTTTACAATCAGGAAAAATATGAGTACACTTCATTGTAGCAAAGTTTACAAAAGTAAAAATGAAAATAAATTGTCATAATCCTACCGGAGATTCAGATAGAGTTAACATTGCATTTTGCTCTGTTTTATTCTAGAAAATTTTCCGTGCATAGTTTAAACAGTTCTTTTGTGTGTATTCATTCCGCAAATGTTTATTGACAAGTGGTGTGACCCAGGTGCTCCACTAGGAAAAGGATCTCAGCCCTGAACAAGGCCTTGCTTTCATGGTGCAGATACCATTGAGATCAGATTGCTACACATCTTTGAGTATTTTTTTCACCTACCATTGTTCATGAGCATTCTCCAAAACTTTTCATATTCATTTTTCAATGGTTAAATATCTACTGGAACTTTATTACTCAGGTTGCATATTTTATTTTTCTCTGTCATACATAAGCATTTTGTACATAAGACCTTCTTCACTTCAGACTATGTTTGTTAAGTAGTGCCTACTAATAAATTGGTTAAATTAAAACATTTTTAAGAGTGATGCACTTTGCCCTGGCCGGTTTGGCTCAGTGGATACAGCATTGGCCTGAGAACTGAAGGGTCTCAGGTTCGATTCCAGTCAAGGGTACTTGCCCGGGTTGCCGGCTCAATTCCCTGTAGGGGGCGTGTTGGAGGCAGCCGACCCATAATTCTCTCTAATCATTGATGTTTCTATCTCTCTCTCTCCCTCTTCCTTCCTCTCTGAAATCAATAAAAAAAAAAAATTTTTTTTTAAAAAGAGTGATGCACTTTGGCCCTTGCTCTTTGGCTCAGTAGATAGAGGGACAGCCTGTGGACTGAAGGGTCTCAGGTTCAATTCCAGTCAAGGGCACATGCCCAGGTTGTGGGCTTATTTTCCAGTAGGGGACATGCAAGAGGCAGCTGACCAGTGATTCTCTCTCATCGTTGATGTTTCTCTCTCTCTATCTCCCTTCCTCTCTGAAATCAATAAAATATATATTTTTTTTAAAGGAGTGATACAATTTGCAGAATTGCTTTCTAAAAAGGTTGTGTTCTAATAGTAGTGCCTCGGAGTATGCTTCTCATCCCCCCTCCCTTCCCTAGCTGTGGAGAGAGGTTGGATCTTTATATAACTTAGCCTCTTCTCTCCATTCATTCATTCATTGTTTATGCAAACCATGCAAAAAATGGCTGATGGCAAGGGGCGTGAGGTTGCAGACAGAGCATAGGTGGGGACTGGCTGCCATGGTTGTACCATGACCTTGTGCTCACTATTTTCTGCAGGCTGTGAACCCAGGCAGGTCCCTGTTCCTGCTGTATGCCCTCAGGAGTTCCCCCAGACTTGGTCTGCTGTACCTCTACCTGTTTGACTACACAGACACCTTCCTACCCTTCATCCACACTATCTGTCCTCTGCAAGAAGACAGCTCTGAGGAGGACATCTTCACCAAACTTCTGGTAGGTCTGCAGTGTCTTGAATGAAATTATTCCACCATTTCTCAGTGTGGTGCAGAACTGGAGACATGGCTGTAGCTTGTCATGAAGAGTAAACAACTCCACCTTTCATTTGGATTTTGCAAGGAGATCCCCTGCAAAAGAAAATAAAGAAGGGACTTTTGCCCTGGCTGGTGTGGCTAAGTGGTGGGAGCATAAGCCCACGAGAACCAAAGGGTCAAGGGCTCAATTCCCAGACAAGGGCACCTACGTTGCAGGCTTGATCCAGGGTCAGGGTGCCTGCAGGAACAACCAATAGATGTGTCTCTCTCAGATCGATGTTTTCTTTCTCTCTCTCCTCCACATCCCTCCCCTCCACTCTCTCTAAAAAATTAATGGAAAAAATAACTTCGGCTGAGGATTTTTTAAAAAAGGACCTTTTCCACCCCAAGAAGCCTATTTTGTTTCCCATATTGCATAGCAAGAGGGGCTACCCTCTGGACTTGAAATGTTTAGGGGGGAAAACCAGCATTTCTTTTATTATACAAGATAGGATAGGTCCAGATTGCCCGAGGGTTAGATTTGTGAGTCTGCTAGCTTGGTAATCTGTCTTTCAATAGGATCCCCAAAGGATGAATGATTACTTGTGTTACCACAGACAGGGATAGTATTTGTCCTATTGGCCATAAGTCAGGCAGCGTCCAGCTCACTGATAGGAGTCCTCTTCTAACCTGAAATGGTTGCCCATCATGGCTCTTGTTTCTTCAGTTTGACCCATGGATCCTTCAGAGTTATTGGTGGATCCCATTGACGAGGTGATTTCTTCTGTCTAGTTGGTTTTTTGAGGGTATATTGTCCTTTGCATTGCTGCTCTTGGGGAAATCCCTCTGATCTGTTTACATCAAAAAGTCACATGGATATAGGAATTGTCATTTATGATCCACACCCACAAATGTTGAAATAGAATTCCTAAATCTCCTAATATCCTTTTTAAAACATTTTAGGCAAGTCTCCTACCTGACTTCAGTCTTAGATATCGTTCAAAACCTGCTGATGAGCCCCTTTGCACAATGTTTCTCTACCCACTTTCCAGCGGGTACCTGCCCTTGCTGGACTGGAGCTTAGAAACCCATCTGACCTTTCCATTTTAACAAGCCCCAGCAACCCCTGCCTGTGCCTCAGGCTAACTTGTTTCTTGGAATACTCATTGCACAGTCTTGCTGAACTTCCATTAACTTCTGGATGCCTATGAATTATTTAAATACTTTTGTTAATTATCTGCTAATATCTGTAATCAAAGTTTTTATTTTCCCAAAAATTATTTTTCCAAGGTTTGTGTTAAATTTTTCCATGACTTGTTAACTTTCTACCACAGCTAAGATGTTGAATTTAGGAAATTGAGGTACACATGCAGTGATGATGAAATTATAAAACTGGTTAATTTCAATTTATATCAACCCCATTTTTTATAACTCATGATTAGAATTTATTTTGTTTCTGAACTTCCAGAATTATGTAACAAGCATCTCAGTTCAACCTCTTTGGTAATATTTAGGCAATGTAAGATTAATTATTACAAGGCGAGTTGATGGAGGTGTGTGTGTGTGTGTGTGTGTGTGTGTGTGTGTTTTAATAAATGTAAAACTCACTGGAATAACTACAGTATTATATTTTGTATAAAAGTCAATCTTCATAATTTTTGGAATTTTTATTTGTGTGTTATTTTTAAAGGATCTTAGAGAGCCCACATGGAAGCAGTGGAGAGAATTCCTTGTCAAATACTCCTTCCTTCCGTACCAGCTGATTGCTGAATTTGCTTGGGACTGGCTGGAAGTCCATTATTGGACATCTCGGTTTCTCATCGTCAATGCCATGTTACTGTCAGTTCTGGAATTATTCTCCTTTTGGAGGATCTGGTCAAGAAGTGAACTGAAGTAAGTGTGTTTTTATATTGGATATGGTTGGAGCAATGGGGACTGGAAAAGATGTCTAAAGTATTACTTAGACACAAAGACTCGTCGTGTTCTGGTTTTGAAACATCTACTTAAGCAGCAAATAGGAAAAGTTACTCTGTGGTAGCAGGGTGGAGAGGTTTTCATGGTGCTCATTGTTGAAGTGTTTCTCGATATATCTTATCCCACATACCCTACCATATAATTCCTGGGAGTGGAGGCTGTACATGAAAGATTTTAATAATTAGGGGATAAACAAGTGGGAAAATGAAGGTTCTTTATTTAAAAAAAAAAACATGCCGAAACCGGTTTGGCTCAGTGGATAGAGCGTCGGCCTGCGGACTGAAAGGTCCCGGGTTTGATTCCTGTCAAAGGCATGTACCTAGGTTGTGGGCACTTCCCCAGTGGGGGATGTGCAGGAGGCAGCTGATCCATGTTTCTAATTCTCTATCTCTCTCTCTCCCTCTCTGTAAAAAATCAATAAAATATATATTAAAAAAAACAAACAAACACCATTATCGTAAAGCATAAAGAGATCTGGTGAGAAATCCTGTGGGCATGAGTTCTAATCCTGCTCTGCTGCCACTGGAACAGTAACAAGGGCTTTAGATTAATGCCTAAAATGAGAATTGGACTAGACGGTCACTGACTTAGTACTCTTGGTTGCAAGTGAAGTGACAGAAACCAATCTAAATTGGCTTTCCTAAAAAGCGAAATACCCAGTTAAGGCTTCCCACATAGCTGAATGCAGAGACCTAAATGCTACCATCCGAACTGACTCTGCTCTTTCCTGTTCAGCCTTAGGCAGCTCTCTTTAAGTGGGGGCCTTGGGTCACTCCAGGCGTAGATGGGAGCAGCTTAGCACCTTGTGGAAGGAAGGCACTTCTTCCCCTATAGTACTCATGAGTCCCAGGGCTCACGTGCCTTTACTCTGATTGGCCCAGCCTGGGTCACGTGCTCACCTGAACCCATCACTTGGTGCAGGGGTATATAGGTCTCTCCTTGTCCAGCCTCAGAGCATGTACTCATCCACCGCCCCCCCCCCCAACGGCTTCAGCCCCACCCAGACCACATGGAAAAGAATACGGAGGGAGGCACCCCAAAGAAAAACATAGAAGGTGTTGTTAGAAGAAAGGGAATGGCTGCTTGTCAGGCAGAAGTATGCTTGAACTCTGAAATACCCTATATAACTCACAAGTCTTGGCTTCATCAATAAGGAGCAGCCTTATAAATAATTCTGAGAACCTGACAAGAATCTCCCTCATTTATTTCAATTCAGTGAACTCCTTTCTTCATGTACAGTTAATTGAGTCCCTTCTCTGCCCCTGGCTTTCTTCTTGGCACTGCAGATCTTTTGGTAACGAAGACAGTCTTTACTCTGAAGGTCTACAACCTCGCAGAGAAAATATGTATATTAAATATATACAAATGAGACACAGCGATGAAGCAGGTGGAGTTGGGGCTGAAATGGGGATGCCTCACCTGGTGTAGATAGTGCCCTGGGGAAGCACCTTCGACTGTGTCCTGGGAGCTGAAGACGGATTAGTCACGCAACGCTGTGTCTCAGGCAGTGGGGACAGAAAACAAGGTCTCTGCAGCCAGGCCACCTGACTCTGCACTGGAGACAGCCAGAGCCTGAGCACTGTGGTGCTGCCTTTAGAATTGCCAGCACTATTCCACCTCTCAGATGCTTCTCTTCTTTTTCAGGACTGTGCCTCAGAGGATGTGGAGCCATTTTTGGAAAGTATCAACACAGGGGCTTTTTGTGGCCATGTTCTGGCCCCTCATTCCTCAGTTTGTTTGCAACTGTTTATTTTACTGGGCCCTGTACTTTAACCCAATTATTAACATTGATCTTGTGGTCAAGGAAGTCCGACGGCTGGAAACCCAAGTTTTTTGAGTGGCACTGCCCACGTCTGAGGGACTCCTCCAGCCTCCCTGACGTCTGAGCTTTGATGCTTGAGTGAAGAGGGGTTGGGAGCGCACAACTT